TGGCGAGCTCTCTTTCAGAAAAATCGGCGTGCCTTGATTCTCGAGGCGCTCCGCGCATGGCAGGTCCAGACAGCTGGGGATACATTATTTTAGCATTCGTATTCTTACTATGATGATGATTCGTGATGATGGATGGTGGTGGTGATGATGATGCTGATGATGATGACGATGTGGTTGATGATGATGCTGATGATGATCCTGCTGGTGCTGCTGATGATGATGCTCATGATGAGCCACGACGAGTAACGATGATGATTCTGATGGCGATGATGCTGATGCTGATGATGATCATGACAACATTGCTGATGCTGCAAACGACGATGATGAGGATGGTGATGATGCTGATGATGATGGTGATGATGCTGATGCTGATACTTGTGATGGTAATGATGATGATGGTAATAGCGATTGTGGTGAGTGTTAATATGGGGATGATGATGCTGCTGCTGATGATGATGATGACGATGATGGTGGTGACGGTGGTGGTGGTGGTGGTGGTGATGAAGATGACGATGACGATGATGGTGATGATGATGGTGATGCTGATGATGATTGTGATGATGATGAGTCTAATGATGATGATGATGATGATGTTGATGATGATAGTGATGGTGATGGTGATGGTGATGGTGATGGTGATGATGATGATGATGAAGATGAAGATGAAGATGCTGATGATGATGGTGATGATGAGGATTATTATTTTTGTTATTATTATCATTATGAATATTATTATTATTGTTATTATTATTGTTATTATTATCATTGTTATTATTATTATTATGTTGATGATGCTGCTGCTGCTGCTGATGATGATGATGATGATGATGATGGTGGTGGTGGTGGTGGTGGTGGTGGTAGTGATGAGATGCTGGTGGAGATGCTGTCAGTACGGACAAGATGCGTGGCGAAGCTGCTGTATAGAGCCCGGGGGCGTTTCATTGCACAGGGGCTGGTTGGTGTGTTGCCAGCTTCGGCAAGGTGGATCCTCGGCTCGGCGGCGATATTCTTGAATAAGCTGTGTCGCGAGGCCTCGCGGCCCATTCGCTTGGGCAAGTGGCTCCGCAAGACCGTCGCCAAGTCTTTTCTTCGCGACCGTCGAGTCCAAATCCGTGCCCACATTATCAAGCTCGGACAGTGCGGAGTTGCCTTGCCGGGCGGAGCGGAGGCGCCGTTCCATGCCAGGGCGACCATCGAGGAAGTCGCAGCCACTGGGGCCCTGGGGCCGCCAGCCGTGGTGGACGGGGACTTGGTGAACTGCTTCGGCAGTTGCGAGTGGCCGGCGATGCGGGGCGCCTACGCCGAGCTGCTTCCAGATATGCTCCCGTGGGAGGCGTGGTGCACCCGCGCCGCCGCCGAGGCGCGGCTCCCGTGCGGTGACGCGGGTACCGTTGACCGCGGTGCTCGGCAGGGCGAGCCCGACGGGCCGCTCAAGGCGTCCACAATTGTAGGAGTCTGCGCTCGCGCGACAAGGGCTGAAACAGCGGCCGCCAGCATTGGGGAGTGGGTCGAAGCCTGCTTCCTGGACGACGGCCAGATGTTCTGCAGACTTCGCCATCTTGCCGGCTTCCTCCGCCGCTTGGGCGCGCGTCTACACGCGGTGGGGGGGCCACGCGCGATAGCCGAGTTCAGGGTTACGGTATTAAGGGCATGGTTGTCATCTTCGGCACGCCAGAGCTGGTGAGACCCAGCGAGCAGCGAATTGTGCTGGGTGGCTTGCTGGCCGGCAGCCGAAAGCAGGTGGAGGCGTTCGGCCAGATGTGCGAGAAGGTGGAAGCTTTGCACAATGAAATTGACGAGGTCAGCGACGCGGCGACTGAGTTCGTCCTCAAAAGTGAGCGCGCGGACATCTGCAAGGCCACGTGCGCGCTGCGGCTGAACGGTGACAGGTCTCCGAGGCTTCCCTCGCGCTCTTCGGGTCTGCGTTTCGCGACAGCATCGGGGGCGCGCTGGGGGGCGACGTGGGCGATGAGCCGTGGGTGCAAGCAACTTGCGCCACGTGAGACGGGAGCCTAGGTGTGCGAACGCCGCAACAGGTCGGCCTGCCCGCGTTCGTCGCGACCCAGGCGACGGCGCGCCTGGGCGCGTTCGCTTTCTTCGCTCGCATGGAAGACGCTGGCTTCGCTGGGAGAGGCGCGCTGTAGGCAGCCTACGACTCGCGGAGCGCCGCCGCGTTCGCCGGGCTGCAGGGTCGGGCAGTAGGCTACGCAGCGCTGCGAGATAACCTTCGCGAGCTGGTGGAGGACAGCGCCCGCTCGGCGAAGGATTGGTCGGGCGCTGCCTCGCGCGGCGAGGAAGAGCAGGTGTCTGGGCGCGACGTGGACCCGATGATGGGCGAGGGCGCCGAGGAGTCAGGCTCGCTGCGGGCGCCTGCTCTGCAGGCGAGCATGTGTCGAACCTTCGACGCCCTGAAGCTCCAGAAGATGGAAGCGCGCTGGGTGGCTGAGGAGCGACACGAGGACCGCCGCCGCCTCGCTGATCTACGCGACCCGCACCAGGATCATTGTTGGATGCGGTCTCTGAATCCAGCTGTGGGCGCGGTGGTGACAGCCGACAAGTGGCCGACGGCCATGCGCATTCGCCTCGGGTGTGCTTTCGCCCCCACGGGGAGGCTCCGCACGGCTTGCGGCCAGCGCGTGCTGCACCTGTAGGGCTACCATGCGCTGTGCTGCGCTCGCGGCGAGTCCACAAGGGGCCACTACCGCGTGCGGGACGCCTTGCCGGCACCGACCGCAGCGGAGTTGCCGGGCCTCGTGCCATCCGCTCCGGAGCTGCGACTAGCAGACATCCTGAGTCAAGCCGCCCACCCTCGCCTGACCAGCGCTGCCGACGTGCTGGTGAAATCACCGAACGCGACGGGCGCAGGCCTCGTTCTCCGAGGCCGGCAAGATGAAAAAGCTCGAGAGGTACTCGGCAGTGCTGCCGGAATTCGAGGCCCAGGCCGTCTTGAGCGCTTATGGCCGCCGCCATCCCTACATCACGCACATGTTAGCCAGGCCGCGCGTCGCGTGGGCCGACGCTCGGGGGTTGCCATTGCTGAGGTGTCGGTGCGTGGCTGGGCGCGCGACTTTGTTGTTGCGGTTTGGTCGAGGGCGGCTGCGATGGTCTACAGATGCTTGGGCGATGGCGGCGACGAGCGGGCGGAGGCGGCATCCACAGCGGAGGGCTGCGATGAAGACGAGGATGACGAGGAGGAGGAGGAGGAGGAGGAGGAGGAGGAGGAGGAGGAGGAGGAGGAGGAGGAGGAGGAGGAGGAGGAGGAGGAGGAGGAGGAGGAGGAAGCGGGCCAAGGCGCAGGAAGTTGCGTCCACATGCGCGTGCTTCGTTTTTCGGTGCCCCGCGAGGCCGCTGCAGGGGGCTCTGAGGCTCAGGCGCGGGCGCCGCAGCACGCGCCAGCGTCACGGCCACTGAGTGCCTGAGGCGCCAGTCACGTTCACTTTCTCTCCCATTCCCCGTCTTCCTCTTCCTCCATCTCCTTGGCGTCGTAACTGTGTAACGTTTTCCTTCGCGCTTGCACAGCCGTGGTCATGTGGGAACCCCGACTGGCAGGCAGTCGGGCCTCCGAGGCTGCCCGTCTCTCCTCCTTATCTCCTCCTCCCCACTCCCCCGTCCCTCCTCCCTCGCCTTTGCGTGCGAGCGCCGATTTCCTTATGCAGCCCGTGCGGCCTGCCGGGGTCCCGCCCATCAGGGCTCGCTTGGGCCCGCAGGGCGTGCATAAGGTAATTGTTTGCTTTCTGGGGGCGCCTTTGGGTGAGCGTCCGTACCACAGAGTCGCCGTGCAGTTAGTGTGCGCAGGTTCGTCCAGATATCCTTTTGGGTGGTGCTATCTTCGCTTTGGTATTGCGCAGCTGTCATCTCTGAGCTGAGGGTCCTTAGTGGCCTGCAGGCCTGCAACGCTGTCAGTGCTTGCTTCCAGCTTGGATCCTCTCTCTCCCTCCTCCTCCTCGCCTCCTCCTCCTCTTCCTCCTCCTCCTCCTTCCTCTCCCTCCTCTTCCTCCCGTTGCGTGCCTGGCATGTGCAAAAACGCACGACCAGCACGCGCAGCATGGTGAAATCCTCGCGATGGCACTGGTGCAATCCAGCCGAGGCACCGCTTCACTACTGGAACTGGCTCGGAATCCTGCGGCTTTCTCTTGGCTCTGATGTGATAAGAAAAAGAAAGTGATGATGGTGGTGCTGGTGATGATGGTGATGGTGATGGTGATGATGATGATGGTGAGGATGCTGATGCTGATGTTGATAATGATGATGATGCTGAATCCGATGATGATGATGATGATGATGATGATGATGATGATGATGATGATGATGCTGATGATGATGATGAAGAATATGATGATGATGATGATGATGATGATGATGATGATGATGACGATGCTGATGATGATGATGATGATGATGATGATGATGATGATGCTGATGATGCTGCTGCTGCTGATGATGATGATGCTGATCATGGCGATGATGTTGTTGATGATGATGGTGATGATGGTGGTGATGATGATGATGATGATGATGATGATGATGATGATGATGATGATGATAATGATGATGATGATGATGATGATGATGATGATGATGATGATGATGATGATGATGATGATGATGATGATGATGATGATGATGATGATGATGATGATGATGATGATGATGATGATGATGATGATGATGATGCGAGGTACGATCCTGCTATAGATGCGCAATCACTCTGACGTCTGCGTTGGGTGCCCACAAGAGCTACTGGGCACATTCTTCCACAGCGATTCTTTAAAGTTGCCTGGTGTGCCGTCTCTCGTTCAAGGGTGCCCGATTGTCAAGGTGGTGTTGCTCGCCCTCACTGTGGACGAGGATTGATCTTCGGATCCACGTTGCACGCGCTTATCTGCCGACAGATCGGCCCCTGTCAGTCTTTGATGGATTGAGCGGTTGGCGGGTCGGTTTCCCTGGCGGAGCTTCGTTATGCCTGCCGTGGCTCATCCTCTCGGCGCCTGGCCTCTGAGGTCAAGAACCTGTCCGAGACCACTACCCGGGAGGAGTTGTCGGAGCTGTTCAAGTCCTATGGCGAGGTTCTACTGCTTGCGTTGGCCTGCCTCCTTCTCATCCTTCTCCCTTGTCTCCTCCTCTCTCCTCCTGCCCTCTTCTCGTCTCCACTTCTCCTTCTCCTCCTCTGCTTCCTCCTCTTCCTCTTCCTCCTCCCTCTCTTCCTCCTCCTCCTCCTTCTCTTCCTCTTCGCCCGCGCTTCCTTCCTCCTCCTCCTCATCCTCATTTGTGGTGAGGCCCAGGGGAGTCTGTTTCATCGCCATTTCCAGTGCCCAGCCCGTCAAGGCTGGAGGCGGGATTTGTTTCCCGCAGACTTCAGGTCGGCGGTAAGACGGCTGTGTGTTGTTCCTGCCTATTTACAAGAGCGATTTGCTAGAGGAATTTTGCCAGATCCGTGCCAAGTCTTTGCCCGTCCTAAGTGGAACCCAGAGTGGGAACTCAAGGTTGAAAGGCTGGCGCCGCCTCTCGCCTTAGATGGTGGCCACGTTTTTTGCGACGGCTCTGGGGTCGATGGGCTTTTTCCCGTCGTTTCGAGTCGCTGGATGGGGGGTGGCGGTCTACGATCACGAGCGCCGCCCGCTGGCGGGGTGGTTTGGTGCGGTTCCTCCGTCGGCTGGCCCCGACCAGGTGGCTCGGGACGGAGAGGAGTATGCGATCCTCATGGCCCTGAAGCATTTAATTGGCAAGTACACGATACATTCCGATTGTAAAGGTACAGCCACATGCTGTTTGAACGAGCGCCATGCCCAGCGGCCTGGCAACATCAGAGCGCACCTTTGGAAGGCCTTCAGAGAGGGAAAGCCAGAGCTGGTCAGCTTTCGCAAAGTGGCGGCCCATACCTCCATGGCGCATGTGCGCGAAGGACGCACCAGCCACTTGGAGAGGGAGGGCACTGAGCAAGCAGACAGACTGGCCAACACTGGTGCAGAACTGTGTAGATGCCCGAGTAATGTAGTGCTGATGGCCCAGGGCATGCTTCACATGGCGCGGTTATCGCTCCAGTATATTAGCAGAGTTGAGACCCACTATGCTAGCGAGGGCCGGTGGGACGGTGGGACAATGTTGGAGCCCAAGGGCTCACGATGATCTCCCTGGAAGGGGCATCGGATTATGAGGAGGCGCTTGAGGCGGCGAGGAAGTGGGACGAGGGGGGAGGGACTTCTGCTGCCCCTGCCTTCCCCTCCTGCACCCTGTCCCCGCCTGTGCGTCCTCCTCCAGAGCCCTTGGGTCCTGAATTGCTGGCACGTGCGCTGGATGGACAGCACATGCCTGCTTTCTGGGGGGGCATGCCCTCCTAGAGTTTGAGGTGGCCGCTGAGGGCCAGCCACCAATCCTTTTTTGTTCCACGCGCGGGGCCTACGCGACTGTGTCTGCGGGATCTCGGGGCCTGCGCAAAGAGTGTGAGGGCTCAGAGCATGCCTTGGTCGACCCTGCCAAGCAGAACGCTAGGGCCGTCTTTAAGTGGAAGCACCCCAATCGACCTCTCTTGCCGGGCCCTTGGGGAACTCCTAGGGCGTGGGCGCGGGAGCTGGTGGGGGGCGCTGCGGAACCCATGTCGGCCCAGCAGGGAAGCAACAGCTTTTGCAGGCCCGAACAGGGCCGCAATGCAATTTTGTGCTTTGCAGATGTCCTGCAGGCGTTTGGACTAAAAGAGTCCGAAACGGCCGCGCTTGGGCCGACCCTGCAGGAGAGAACCCCAGACAATGACCGGATGAAGATTGAAGCGGTCTTACACCCAGGGGGGGCCCTGTCGCTGGCCCCTGGCAGGTTTTCGGCCTTCCTGCCAGGGTGACAAAAAGGTCCACTTCGATGGGCCCCCCCCTGGGTGTGTGTTTTGGACCGTTGGACTTCGTTTCCCCCCTCCATCCCCTCAGTGGCGTGCGATCCTCCTCCTCCTCCTCTTCCTCCGCCTCCTTCTCCTCTTCCTCCTCCTCCTCCTCCTCCTTCCCCTTTCTCCTCCTCCTCTTGACGCTGTCGGCCGATTCATCGTTGTTCGACTGAGGCCATGGGCCGCCAGGAACGGTAGTCCAGGGCGGCCGAAGAGGTAAGAAAGGCAAGAGGTAAAGACCGTCTCCTCCTCTTCCTTCCTTCTCCTCCTCCTCCTCCTCTCACGCCCTTCCCTCCTCCATCCTTTTGTCATTGCAGAGAACTCCTCCCTGTCGCACCCCCAGGCTCCAAGATGTGTCGGTCGGGTGGGCT